ATATCGTTCATTGTACACGTCAGCTAAAAGGGGCAGACAGGCAAGGGGGAAAGACACGATAGGAAAACAAGCAGCGGCACGGAAAAATCAAACGCCGAACTAATGACAATTTTCAATGCTCCACGTGTTGAGGCCCTGCCCCCAGCCGGAAAACGCCACCACCCGCTGTGACTAATGAGCGTTGCTAACTGAGATAAGAGATCTGGCCAAATGGCCAATGGCTGAATGTTGAGAATTGAGAACCGAACGAAAAAGAGCAATCTGTTACCGAGCGATTCGAATGCCTGAGTTTAGAAACAAATCAGATACAGATACAAAACATAGAAATGTGTTTACCGAGTACTTATGTCATTCATGAGAATGTATCTCTGACGTTTGCGGCCGCAGAATTTCGATGCGGTGATGAAGATGAGGATGATGACGCCGATGAGCAATGCCAATAGCATGCGATAAGGGGTGTGCGGACGATCCCCCGATATATTATATACTTTAAAAGGTTTGTCTTTGCCAAAATGATTGATTGCCGCCCAAGTAGTGGAGGCCGTTGAGAAATATATCGCGTAGATACGAATGCATTGCGGCAAGACTGTTTATAACTTACACATTGTTTCACTATTTTCGATGGCATTTTGTAATTCCATTTCGCTTGTGCCGGCCGAGTCTGAGTAATTCCTTCTCTTGATAATTTTCGTGCTTTTAGTTTTTAGTTTTTGGTTTTCTTGTTTTCGTTTTGATGTTGGGCCACTTGACTTGGACTTTTGATGTTTTTACTTGGCCTGGTCCAAACCGAGGATCTTCTGGCACTCGCTCTTGTCGCTCACTGATCTGCAGCATTTAATTTCATTGTGGTTGTTGTGGCTGCTGTTTTAATTAAATTTCGCAACGCAAACGTTGAAGAAAGCATTTGGTAAATTGCATTTTATGTGCAATTTTCGTTCGACATTTGCGGGCCTTCGTCTCGGCTCGTCCGCTACCAAAACCGAGAAGGGGCCATTGGGCCATTGGGGGGTTGGAAAAGCGCCGGGAGTGCGCCCGTCTGCTGGCAGAGTACAGTGCATCTAATTGCGAGTAACAAATGCCGCCTCATGTTGCTGTCGCCAGACATTTTCCTCTGCCTGGCATCTCACTTTTTTCCTTTTTTTTTTTTTTTTTTTTTTTTTTCGATTTTGGCTCGAAGGCAGGGATTGCGGGGCAAAGATGATGATGATGATGATGCCGCAGTCTCGCAGAAATGAAGGACACCAGCATATGGATGCCGACTAGAGAGATGGACAGTTCTGGGGCTGTTCGGGAAGTTCTTGATTAGCTACCTGGGACATTGGACAACAGCAAATGAGCTGAGCAAATGCTGCAAATGGATCATCTTGTCTAATTCAGAATCAGAGAAAAGCAGGAATATTTTGTTTGTGTCAATCTGTTTACATACATCTGTGTAAACAGAGGAAAAAAAAAATGATAATGAGGAGATAACCGTTTTAGATATACATGTTTTTTTCCAAAGAATGTTAGATATTTACATTTCAGTGCAAGTTACGGTTATTTGTATAAACTTTCAATTTGTTATTCACTAATCGGTAATATAACCCCCACAAAATATAATGCTGTTTTTCCGTAACGGTCTCGGTTATAAATGGTTAAGTAATGCGGTTGCGGTAATGAATATGTCATTGAGGTTCTTGTGCAGGTAATGGTGTATGTAATATCATACGATCAGTGCTTCGAAACAAAGGCTTACAGCTTTTTTATCTAGAAGCCGACTTAAATGTTTTCTTCTCAAATGCTTTAAACTTCTGCTGTGAATATTTCTTGATCAAGTTATTGCATTTGCTATGTACATTTTGAGCAATCCTTTTGAGGACAGTTTGGCAAACGCCAATGCATACTTCAATTGTCTGTCTCCCAGACTGTCATTCTCCTTCTGACTGGCTGACTGGCTGTCTGCCGGAATCTGGCTATATTTCTTGCTATTTTTACTACCTCGATTCTTTATCTGAGATTCTGAAACTTGCAGTTCATTGCGATTGCGACTCAACCCAGCGGCAATTTCTTCATCTTCATCTTCATGACGGCGACACATCGTTTTCTTTCTCTCTCTCTCTGATTTTTGTACTTTTTTTTTTATTTCGTTTGGGTTTTGCGTGGATTTCTTGGCAAACGCATTTATATTGTGCACTTGTATCTGTACCTATGTATGTGTATCTGGTGGATGTCGGTGGCTGAGACTGCACTTTATAGCAGCAGCGACTACTTGATCGACTGAGTGCAAATTTCTCGAAGCAAAATTTATTTGTGATTTGCAATTCGCAATTTGCATGGACCGAACGACGTAGCGATGTTGTTGTGGTGAAATTTTGTGGGTAATTCATCTTCATTTCGTTGCGGTTCGAGCTGAAATGCGTTGCGGTATGCAGCCGCGACACTGCCACACCGCTGCAGCTCGCCTGCAGGCTATTTTCAATTTGTTCGCCGCTGAGCTAAAAATGTTTCAAATGTTTTTACCCAAAAATAAAGCGAAATTAAATTAAAAAAAAATAGTAGGAAAGATAAAAATCAACCTAGCGTCCACAGCAAATTGTACAGTTCTTCTATAGGCTCAATGCACTTAGGCACAATCCCCTCGAACGAACCATTCATCTATCTATCTATCTATCTAGCCATCCACCCGCCAATCAATCATTTTAGTATCGGTTTTTGTTGTCTTTATGAAATTTAATCAACAGCTTCCAATACGGTAAGATGCGGGGTGGAAACTTAAAAAAAAATTCAGAGAAAATTGTGAGTGAGGGTGAAAGAGGTAGAAAGAAAAGAAATATGTTGATGGTGTATTATTATTAAAGGCAAATTTGACAGAAAACAAATGTTTCCTCCTGCTGGCATGCCGCTTAGCTCTTTGTTTTCTTTACTTTTCCTCGGATTTTCACACAAATCGCTTTGTATGCGTCAAAGTTGTTGAAATTTGAATTAACCCTTGGACGAGACAAGGACGTTGTAGCAGGAAGCTGTCTGTTGGTATTTGGTATTGGATTTCACTTTTTGGATAATGAAGTGGCCAAATGATCAATTCATGTTGTGGTGACACTGATATGAATCTATGAATTTATTTAAACTAGATGTTGAAAGAAAATCGAAGGCGTTTAAATACTTTACAATGCAATCTGATTTTGTATCTTTCCACAACATTACCTAAATGCATATTTTCTCTCTTTTCTTTTCATTATTCTACTCAATTGCAAATATAAAGCTAAGGTCAGCAGTTCAGCTTTTGACTTAATGTTGACATATTTGTATTTATTATACGAACACAGAACTTGCACAAGCGTCTAAAAATACGTCACAAAAGCGAGCCATTAACCTAATTGCTAAAGTCAGGCAATGGAAACAAAAGCCTCAGGTAGCAACAGGCGGCAACAAAATATAAAAATAGGGTTAAGTGCGAGAACCAAGTGGAATCCACTCCTTGAATTTCTCGTGAAATGCATCAGCGAAATGTTTAAAGTACGACAAGGCAGCAATGAAATAATTGCGGATACTGAATCGGAACTACGGTAAAAGTTAATTAACTTTAATAGTAATTAGTAGTTAGTGGATTGCCAACACCAACACCGACACTACTGACATGTTCAAGTTGTGTAAGCGAAGGAAAGGCGACTAGAAAAACGAGCGAACAAACTGCTGGAAAAGTTAGGAAAATGTCAAGGTGTTGCGGGCAGATGGAAAACCCATGTAACGATTAGAAATTATCCAAGTTTTACCACCTCCTAAGTACCGAGTTAATTAGTGCGAGCATCAACGGGATTTTTTGTGTCAAGACCAAGTGGCCAAAACACCTGCCCGCGTGCGGGAAATATTCAAAACATTTAAATTTACCGCAGTTGTCGTCGCTGATTGACATTCGAACGTGACATAAACATGGTTCACCTAAATTCCGTAATTTATTTATAAAAAATCAGCTTACTAAAAACAAAACGGAAATTATGTTAGCAATGCCTGCAGTCAAACCAAAAAAATTCTGGTTTGCTTTAACCCTGCTGCTGCCTTTTCCATAATATTCAACATTGAGCATTCAACATATCGCCATGACAGCGTCAATTAACGGGGAAAAAATTGTGCAAAACTTTATGTTGACTTAAATTTTTGCACTCAGCCATAGAAAATGTGTTTTTGCAATGCTTTAAATTATGCCATTAGTGCAGAAAATCAATTCGTTTGGTTTTACGTAAGCGATCGGACAAATGCGATAAAGTAGCGGAACTGGGAAAATTATTTTGTGATATTTAAGCAGAATTTAAGGGGTCCCTTTGAAAATATTAATGGTACCTGCCTTTCATCAATTCCATAAGTAAACTGTAGTTATAGTAATGAATGTGTAAATTAAAATGTGTAATTATAAGACAATAATAAGTAATTAATACTGAGCGTACATAAAAATCAAGCTTAAAGTGAATTTAAATTAAAACAGAAGAAGAGAAAATTAATTAAGTGGATTTCCTCTTACTCCATGATATTGCATTTAATAATTTACACAATTAATGGCGTTAGTATATAATATTAAACATGATTTGTTGCTGAATATTTACTGTCGATAAATATTTAAAAGTAAACTGGTTTGAGTTATTATAAAACAAAGGCAGAAAATCATTTAATTTGTTGAGGTGTATCAATGTATTGCTCCTGAAAATCGTCTTCCTATTGTTAGCATCTTGTATCATTGAGAATAGTTTATTTAAAAATTACTTTCTTTATTAGGCTTTTAAAATATATTTATCAAAGTGAGCTGCTTAAAAATAATCTCTTAAGCAATATGAATTTACGAAAAATAACACAGAAGCCGCACGATAAACTAAAATAAACACGACTATGCACATGCTGTAAACACACGCTCAGACCACGAAAAAGCCAGGCTTATTTACTATATATTGATAAATCTGTTGTTATACTTTTCGTCACCACAAAGCCCGATACTTATCCGTATATATGTGTTTGTGTACATATTTTTACAGTCCACACAACAACAGAACCAGCAGCAAGCACTTATGAACAAGTCAAATGACGACCTACGGAGAAAGCGTCCCGAGACTACACGGCCAAATCACATTCTACTCTTCACCATCATAAATCCCTTCTATCCCATCACAGTTGTAAGTACACACAGCAATATATATCTATATTTTACTCCTTCTCTCTCTGCAGCATATACTCCCAAACATACAATATATTATACGACGATAATATCCTTATATCCTCCAGATACTTAGTATGTTGAAATGTATGAAGGGAGATCTCTTCTATTTCTTATTTTATTTATTTTACTTTTTGGGTAAGAAATCGGAGAAAATAAAATAAAATCCATTGCAATTTGTTTTGTAGCTGTTAGAAAATTTGTCACACACTCGAGCGGAGTTTTCAGGCATGGATATGTGTGCAGGGGATAAGAAAACAGTTATTTGCCACACTGTCGCCTCTGGCCCCGAATGTTGTTGTAGCTTAGGCTACAGACGAGTGTTGATTGTGTCTGGCTTTGTGGTATGCTTGGTCTTATCACAATGTTTGATACTTTTTAGCTACAAAATGGCCAGAAAGTGAGTGTCCTTAACCGGGGCAGAGGCAACAACAAGTGGGGATAGCAGATGGGCCGGGATTTGGATGAGTGTTTAGTCCAAGTGCATTGTTAGGCGAGCAACAACCTGCAACGTCAACAGCAACAATTATAAGAGGAGAGAAAAACAACACAATGCACCGACAAAACGTAAAAAATGCATAAAGTGCTCAAGTGTGCTGAGACTAAATAACGTGCGAAGCACGCCCACGCATAGACGCATACAAAGACTAAAACTGGGACTCGAGATTTTGGTACTCAGCTTAAATTGGACCAGTTTATGAGTTTTATCAAGGGGTCTTAAATAAAATTTATTTTGAAAGTAATTAAGGTTTTTTCAGGTTTTATGGTCATAAACTAAGAAAGCTCCTTTAGAATTGTTAAATTTCTGTTTGTGTGAAGTTAAAGAATGCTTAGAATAGCCTAATAGGGAATCAACAAAAAATGCCTCTAGATAGAAAAAATAATTTAATACATGGTTTTACTTTTCAAATAATTTTAATGAAAATGAGTTTTAGAAAGCAAAGTTACTCCATTCAAATGTGGATCAAGAGGCTTTTTGCTAAGACCCATTTCCCAACCCTATGTCGGCCTATATCCTGGCAATATAGGGTAGACATTTCTAGAGCTACATGAAATCTAGACACGCACACTGGCTTAGTTTATTGTCTTTTTAGCAAAGGCAAAAACATACGGCGGTGCAGCAGTACAACAAAGCCAAAGAAAACAAAAATGCGGAAATGTTCTACCCCTCTCTCTCTTTAGCTGGTATTACTCCTTACTCTGTCCCTCCGTCAGTGTGGAAAAAGAGTGTGTGTGCGCAGGCAATTGTATTTTCCAACACTTGAGCCGAGTGCTAGCGTAGTGGAACATAAAATCCTGTGAAGTGGAAAACATGCAGCATAAAAACTACAAAACTGAAAATTATTTGGGGCCAGCAGTTGAAGCGCTGTGTGTGTATGTGTGGATAAAGCCAAAAAGCCCAGACATGTTAATTCGCATCCGACAAAATGGCTGCCTGTGTTGCCTTGTGCAGCAGGATTTTCCATTCGTCCGACTCCACTGAATGACTTTTCGCAGGTTCCATTGTCGTAAAGTCCGGCTGACTGGATTTATATTCACATTCGCATTCAGACTCGCCCGCAGCTTTTCCAACGGAAATAAATCTTTCTGTTGACTTAAGTCATCGCCATGGAGAAGCGTGTTTGTTCTGCAATTAAGCAATTCTCTTTACAATTCTCCGTCTTTCTCTTTATGCGACACAAATTAAAAGCTTCTGGCAGTTCGAAAAATATCTGTTACATCAGCCTTTTATTGAGCCGGATTCCGGTATTAATGAAGCTGCAAATCGGATTAAAAGCATTCCCTGTGTCATAAGGTGGTGCAAGCAATAAGAACATCAGCAGGCAGGATTCATTTCCAGAGTAAAGATCGGTTGAAAAGATTAATTGATCTGCCAATTGGTCAGAAGCTTATAATTAAGACAATAGGCAAAGTTCATTAAAATAATTTCGAAATAAAATTTGCATTTTAAATTGTAAAGCACTTTTTTTTAGACTATTTTAAATATAATTTAAATGTGCCTCTGCAGAGGCATGCCAAATGCAATTTTACCCCCTACTGAAACATTCAAAAGAAGCATCGCCAAAAAAAACTGTTTCCGGAAAGTTTTTGGGAAACTTGGGCCGGGCACGTTCGTCGGCGAGGAACGCTCCATCACACGCTCCAACTAGCTTTGGCTTAACTAATCGCAAACTAAACGACCTCTAATAGCATCCGGAACTTCTGTCAACAATGCAGACTACCACTGCCACTCCCAATTTTCGCTCTTCCATTTCCACACACGCCAAAACGAAAAGTAAAGTGAGCTACGAGTCAAACTTTTCTAGAGCTACGCCTGGCCCATTTCCGCAGCGAAGAGAGTGTAGAAGGGTAGGGAATGCCGCTTATCCGCACGGAACAAAAAGCTTTCGGGATAAGATTAAAAACTTTTTAATAAGAAGACACTAAAAGCATCAAAGGAAAATTTGCTTGTGCACACACATATGTGCAAGCAAAGTGGCCAACAAAAAAGAAGGCAGAGTTGTTAGGGTTGGGGCAAAAAACCAGATGATAGATGATAAAGTTGTGCAGCCCAAACACTCTGCAACAAACGGCCATGAGATGTTAAAGTTGAAGAGTTGCTAAAAATGGAAAAAAATTGCAATAAAAGTTGCAACGACGACGGGTATTAGCTGACACCATGGCAGACCAGGGCAACAATGTTCAATAATGTATTAGCAGAAGGGAGGGCAGAAGGCGTGGCTGCAGCAGCAGCAGCAACAACAGTCACAATGCAAATGCAACCGACGACCCCAGGAGAGGAGGCATATGTAAAACCCTCTTTGAGGCGGCTTATCAGAACGCTGTTCGACTTTGTTGGTAAAGAAAAAATAAGGGAAAATGCAGCAGCAGTCAGCCATAAGCTAAAGCCCAGGAATGTGTAACGGCAGCTGCAGCTTTTGCAATATGTGACACATGCAGGAGCAGGGCGGAACGGGCGGCCCAAGCCAAGCCAAGCCAAGCAGCGGAGCAGTAGCATTCAGCAGACCATAATGCGTAGCCTGGCAAAAGCCAACGAGTTGGGTGGGTGGAATGGTAGGGTGGGTTGGCTCCACTGCACTGATGGCAGCGAAGGACATGCGGTGACGGCAAAAGCCGAAGCCGAAGCTGTAGCCAAAGCCAAAGCCATAGACCTAAACCAAAACCCGAGCCCAGTGCCTCCTTTCCATCCTGACGACGACGAGGGGATGGGGTTTGGATGGATAAGGAAAAAAAAGACGAGGATAAGGGGCGAACTGGCAATAGGGGAGACGTGGCTCATGGCAACTGAGGTTTTCAATAATGCACGTTGTACGGCTCCCATGCCGCGTATTGTATTGCATTTTGTTTATGCATGCGCCCATCAAAGATGGCAAAGATGCTCGACAAATGGAACTACAGTGAAAAAGAGAAGAGTGGGGCACTGAGGAAAAAAACTCTGTTAAGCTCCGAATTTCATACAGAATCTTTCTTAAAACAAGATTCTGTAAAATAGATTATAAAATAAATTTATCGCTAAAAACTCTTCTATTTTTTGCAGTGTAGAAAAAAAGATAGAAGAATAGCTCCCTGTGGAGCATTTTTTTTCTCTTTCGCTTTGTAAGTTTGACAAATCGATGTGGTGGTTGTCTTACTATTTAACCGTGTCTATACCCATTCCTATTTTCCGCGCCCACTGCCATTTTTATGTGCTTCTTTTATGTTCGCCGCAGTTTGCGACAAAAATATGTCATAAAGTTGCTTTTATGGATATATGCAAAACAATAGATTACTATGTGTGAGGCCTATTGAACTTTGATTGGTAACCCTCAATCAAAGACGGAAAACCTTCTGAGTATAACAGAAGATCTTATTTTTAGTTTCACCGACGTGTAAATCAATGGCTGCAAAGACAATTCACAGAGCTAAAACATATACAGATCGGCCAGAAAACCAGAGACAAAGATCCCACTACGGACCATTCGTTTCGTGTAAGTCTTTGCTGAGTATTTGGTAAAGTAGATCTGGAAAGCACTTGATATCGTTCTTGGTCAGGTGGCCGTTCTCATACATTTTGGAGAAGATCTGCGGGTAAAATGGAATTGTATGCTAGTGTTAGGCAAAGGATAGTTTTTGTGACTTACCAATTCCCTGAGTCGTGTGGCATTCAGCTGATTGGTCCTCTCCTTTCGCCAGCTGAGATGCTGATCCCTTTCAACTTCGCTGATGTTGCCTGCTGTCCAGTGAATGGATTGCTGAGGTTTTGAGATGGATCCCAACCGTTCTTTTGACTTGGTCTTCAGGCTGTGGCTGCTTTCCCGAAGTATTTGTTTTCTGAGAACGACTTTATCCTTGGACTTGAGTTTGTTTTTCGCACTGGCAATGCTTTTCACGCTGACCTTACTTCTCGTGCCCGCGGATTCACTTGGACCTTCAATCTTGCCGCCTTGAAGGCGTTGCTTTTTGGCGTGCTGCTCCAGGAACTGGGCATCTCGCTGTGCCTCCATTTCGAGCATGCGCTGACGACGCACCCGCTGGCTAAGATTCCGCTGCTGCTTCCGGCGATGGGCTTTGGTTATGCTGCTGCTGCGCTTGGGCGTGAATTTGCGACCCTTCTCCCGGTGCACACTTTGCCAAATGCCCAAACGCTCCTTGGCACAGGTGGGTGCCAATAGTTGCTCCTTTTGGCGCTGAATTTCGCGGGCGATCAAGGCTCGATGCTTCTTAGCTTGGGCCTCCGCCTCCTCGCGACGTCGCCTTAACTGCACGATGACTGGGTTCAACTGGGCTGCATCCGTCTGATCACCTGGCCAACGTACATGATTTCCCATCCTTTGAGGCGACAGCAGCTGTTGCTGCTGATACTGATCCTGCTGGCGATCGCGTTGGTATCTCTGCATCGCCTAAAGGATAATAAAATTACAAGAAAAGGGATTTAGATACGATGCAATCGAAATCTACCTGGTGGTTTAGCTCCTCACG